AGGGGTACGACCCTCTGAGGCCTATCATTTCACTTTCAGGAACGCCTATGCTAAGTGCTTGGGTTTTAGAGGTATTAAGAGAATAGTAGGATTGTGTTCCATAGTCATGAATGAGGGACATGACATGGGGCAGAGAATCCATTGGTTGGGTCATATAGAGGAGGATGTCATCTGCGAAGGCACTTATCTTAACTTCTCTAGATTCGACCAGAATTCCAGTAATATTGGGGTGGGATCTAATTGCGACCAGAAGTGGTTCCAGGGCTAAAACATATAACAGTGGGGACAGTGGGCATCCCTGTCTGGTCCCGTTAGATAATTCGAAAGGGTCCGATAGGAACCCGGCTTGCAGAACTCTAGCTTTCGGAGCCGAGTATAGTGCAAAAATTTGCGTGATGGTCTGATGGGGGAAACCGTATTTCACTAGAACTTGTCTCAAGAAGGCCCAGCCAAGGCGGTCAAATGCCTTCTCCGCGTCCAAGGCTAAGAGCAGACCCCCTCGGCGAGGCCTCCGGAGCTGCTCTAGGGTGTGCATCAGTTTGTATGTATTGTCCGAGCCCTGTCTCCCTCTGACGAACCCTGTTTGATCATCACAAATCAATTCTGGCAGAAGTCCGCTCAGCCTGTTTGCTATAATTTTAGCGTAGAGTTTGGCATCTGTATTGAGGAGGGAGATTGGGCGAAAGTTTTTACATTCATTTGCCGGTTTGCCAGGTTTTGGAATGGTGATAATTGTGGCCATAAGCCTCTCCGGAGGGAGGGAGCCCGTTGCGGAGGCTTGTTGGTACACCCGCAACAGGTGGGGCGCCAATGTGTCTGCAAATTTCTTATAGTAGGCATTAGTGAAACCATCAGCTCCCGGGGATTTAGCTAGAGGCAGAGATTTGATAGCTGCGCTAACTTCTGCCAAGGTTATGGGTTGTTGGAGCGTTATAGCTTGTTCTAGTGTGACTCGTGGCAAGTGTATCTGGCTAAGATATTTGGAGATGCTGTCTTCCGTTGGGTTGTTTATACCTGTCGTGAGGTGCAGGTTATATAGTTTGGCATAAAATCTTGCAAAGGCTTGCGATATGTCGCTGGGATTTAGTATTTTCTGACCCCTATCGTTTATAAGATGTGCGATCTTTTGTGTGTTGCATTTGTTTCGTAATCTCGCTGCTAACAATTTAGTGGCTTTACCGCTATGGTGGTAGGTGGTAGCTTTTAATTTATGAAGCAGCCTCCTAGTTTTGTCTGCCGTCAAGTCTCTTAGTTTGTCATACTGCAGGGTGAGTTGTATCCCTGTTTCTACTGAGGGCTGGGTCTTGTTTAAAGCAGAAAGTTGCGCTATTTTAGTGTGGCATTCCAACATTGCCGAGTCTTGGGACCTTTTAATGTGCGAAGCTTGTTTAAGAAACAGGCCTCTAAGTACTGCCTTATGTGCGGACCAGACCGTGGCTGCCGTGGTCTCTTGAACATTGTTTAGGTTAAAGTAGGTTATAAGCTCCTCTTTAATGTTAGCGGTGAATTTCTCGTTGTTCAATAGGGAGTCATTCAACCTCCAAGTGCCTTTCCCTGTGAATTGGAATTCATCCTTCAGTACCAGGGTGACCGGGCTGTGGTCTGACCACGTAATCTCCCCAATCCTGCAATCTGCTACAAGGGGCAAGGTAACTCTATCAACAAAAAACCCATCAATTCGAGAGTACGAATTGTGTGCCCTCGAATAAAAAGTATAATCTCTCGTTTCAGGGCTAAGAGTTCTCCATACATCATAGAGGTCATGTAATGAGAGTGTTTTGTTGATGTTTTTGTGGGTCTTATCGTGTGACAATCTAGTATTGGTGCCTCCCTGAGTTGTTCTATCCAGGGGTGATTGAGTGAAGTTAAAGTCGCCACATAGTAATTAATTGCCTAGGCGATATTGGTCTATTTTCGTTAGCAGGGACTTTAGGTATTGGTTGGAGTTCTCATTGGGGAAGTATGCCGTGACCAGTGTGTAGTGGGTCGCGTTAATGAGACACTGTAGGATTATGAATCTACCTTGGGGATCTATGTACTGCCTCTGGCTCGTGAATGCGATATCTTTGTGTATTAGGATAGATACACCCTTTGTTTTGTTTACTGAGAGTGCATGGTATTGTATCGGGAAGTGTTTAGTAAAGATCTTAGGTGTATAGCCTTTCTTAAAGTGGGTCTCTTGAATACATGCAATGTCAATCTTAGTTTTTATCAATTCTTTATACAGTAAACATCTTTTCCCAGGGGTATTCAACCCCTTCACATTATACGTTACTACTCTTATGGTAATTGGGGATCAGTTTTGCTATGACATCTGGTGCGTGGAGGTGAACCGGTGTTAGCGTAACAACAGCATCTTTTCCTATGTTGCAGCTATAACCAGCTAGCAAATATATCCCAAACCTAACTACACGATCAATCCTGTTAAGTCGTACTGTACTGCTTATACGGGATTTTGCGTCTGGTATTATATTACTGGCTGCTAAGGAAAACCTGGATAGGTCGGGGAAAGAGGGAACTAGGGAGAGAATAAACTGGGAGTGGGGAAGGGGGAATAAACCCTGATTAAGCTCTACACAAGAGAGCTGGAGCACGCCAAGCTGATCCTGGCTGCAATGTAGGGGGTACATTAAGTGAGCCTGATGTTGTCGTGGCTCATATGTGGCTCTTAGGGCTTTGAATGGCTTAAATAGATAGTATGCTGAGGCTTTCTCGTGCCGCAGGCATCTTTTTTTTTATTTATTTTTTTACTTGTAATACACTAAAAAGTAAGAACATAACTTTTTGTAACATTTGGTCATCAACAGTTCATAGGTCCTAGTGACTGCGCTGTGGGCCGCAGTAAGTGTTAGGCATACTTAACACTCTCTCCGCGGGAGAAGAGGCAGGTCTCGCAGAGTGATCCTGTTCAGGCCGGGGTCCACTCAGGGGACATCCGAGGTATCTTTGCCTGGTTATGGTCGTCTGTAGTGGCAACCGGGAGTCCCCACATCTTAAATTTTTCTTTGCCAGCCGGCAGCGAATTTACGGCGTGCAGTGAGTCTTGGTACTGGATGAGCAATTTTGCGGGGTATCCCCATCGGTACATAATTCCTTTTGCTCGTAGCGTTGTTGTGAGGGGAGCCAGGCTTTTTCGAAATTGTAGGGTTGCCGCTGACAGGTCCGTGAAAATTTTTAAGTCCTTGTATGGATCTGGCATGCCTGGTGTGCGGGATGCTCGAACTAGCCTCTCCTTGGCATGGTAAAAGTGGACACGGACTATCACGTCCCTCGCGGTGGAGTTAGGGAGGTGTTTCGGTCTTCTCAACCTATGCGCTCGGTCGATGATAAGCTGGTCCGGGTGCGTCTCCGGTGACAGTGCTTGGAAGAGGTCTAACAGGTAGTTGGGAAGTGCAGGGTTGAGCACTGACTCCGGTATACCGCAGATACGCAAGTTATTGCGTCTCGATCTGTCCTCCATGTCGGCCATTTTGACCGCATGGTCGTGCAGGACGGTGTCCAATTCATGCAGCTTGTCCGCGAGACCGTTATGTGCTTCAGCGAAATCGTCCATCCTATTCTCTATCTGAGCAGTACGCTGGCCCACCTCTATAATCTCCTTCCTGAGATCTGCGGTGAGGGTTTGTATCTGCGTCGCCATGTTCTTCTGTATGGTGTCAGTAAGTTCCGCCAGCATTCTTTTCAATTGCTGGGTTGTAGGCGGGCTGTCCTCCGGTCCTGTATCTGAGGACATTGGGGATAAAGGTGGATCCTCCTCGGAGCGAGCGGCACCACCATCTGCATCTGGGCTGCGGCCTTCTCGTGCGTGTGATGTCGCCGACTTGGCCAGGAAAAAGGAGGCGCGATCTGCCTTTGCAGCTTTATTTTTTTGCCTGTGTGACATCCCTGCAGGCTCGGGAGTGGTAGCTTAATAATTAAATCTTGTTTGTTCTTTTTGCAGCCCGATTATTTTAGCCCTAGTTCGCCCGGTAGCAGGAGCTTCGTTAGGATGCGTCCATGCAGCTCGGTGTCAGGCCACGCCCCCTAGCCCCCTTACTTTAAGGGACATCTTAATGCATCAGCATACCAAGACATATTGGACAATGCTATGCTTCCAACTTTGTGGGAAGAGTTTGAGGATGGCACTTTTCTATCCCAGCATGACTGTGCCCAAAGACATGGTTGGATGAGTCTGGTGTGGAAGAATTTGACAGGTCAAGTTACCTCAACCCCATCGAACACTGGATGAACTGGAATGCAGATTGTGAACCAGGCCTTCTTGTTCTTACAAATGTTCTACTGGATGAATAGGCAAAGATTCCCACAGAAGCACTCCAAAATTTCTGAAAAACCTTTCCAGAATTGCTGTATAGCTGCAAAGAAGAGACCCAATACATATTAATGTCAATGTATTTAGAGTGCAATGTCATAAAAGGTTCTGTTGGTGTAATGGTCAGGTGTCCCAATGCATGTCTATATACACAACTTGGGCTGTGTTTGCAATTGTTTGCTATCCATGAGAGCAGATTATTTTTGTGTATCTTTTTGAACAAAAAGCGAAACAAATAATTTTTCCCAGCCATTTTTCGTAATATTTACCATGGGTGCCAATATTCGTAAAGGTCTCTCTCTATCTCCATCTCCATTGTACCAGAGTATTGCAGTATGCAATGATACCTTTTTTATTGGACTAACATCTGGGTGCACATAAACAGGATAAAGTGTGATAGAATAAACTTAAAAAAAGCCGATTGGTCCTTCGAGGTAAAATACTCTTTGATCACTATACCACAAGAAACCATTGAGTCAATATTTATTTTGGTTTGTTTATTTTCTTCTGTTACTTATTAAGAAAAATTGCAAACAATTATTGTAAGAAGACAAAGCTGCTAAAAAAATAAAATGTTTAAAAAATAAAAGTATAATTTCTTTTATTATACATGATAGAGTGTGGATACTTTATGACTTTCACCTTTTTAATCATGTAAAGTAAGGGAATATAGAGTTATTCAATGATGAGTATTTTTTGTCTTTATTTTACTAAGCATTTTTACTGTTGACAAAGAGACCACCTTGCTAATATTGGTTCCTGCTCGTACTTGCACCAGAAACTACAATATGGAAATGTTGATCTTAATATTGTTTTGTTTTTTCTTCTTCCAGGAAGTGTTTCTTGTTCTGATCGCCATCCTGTTGGCTGTTTCGTCGGTCTATGCTTTCTTCTACCTGAAATTCAACTTATTCGAGAACCCTGCGGAAGAATCAAGTGATTAGACTCCTGCAAGTCACCAGACCATGCATTCAGCGAGAAAGAGGACTCTAGACTGCTGTGCAAGAAATAATTATGTTGGTAAATGCTAGACATGTTTACTGCATTGGTTCTCAAACAAGTCCTCAATATCCACCACTGATCGAGATTTTATAAAATATTTTCCTCTCTTAATTCACTTTTCATATACCTAATGTCTGGACCAATAGTCCTTGATGGCTTGAGAACCACTGTAATACAGGACCAACATTGGATAATGTTAATGCTGCATGCCAATCAATAAATACATTCCAAATCAGACATGTATCGAATTGTCCTAACAAATGTAACATGATAAGGGTTTTTCTTATATAAAACGATATTCACCAAAATTCCTTATGGTGAGAAGAATGTTGTTTTTTGTTTTTCTTTTTGAAATTCTGTTTTTTCTTTGGGTTAAGTGTTTTGTAACCTCTACACAAAAATAAAAAGATTCTTTTTTTTTTCTCTTATTTTGCTGTAATTTTCAGCCTATTTCTATGATTTCTTTGAGAAAAACCAATGCAATATGTGGGACCTGATTTTTATATTGAACATGTAAAGGGTTAAAAAATTAAATGAAACATAATGCATTTTTGGGGTAATCTTAATTTTTTCCATTGCTTAATTTTAAAACACAATATACATTGTAATATTTCCCTGTACAGCTAACCAAGCTGGTAATAGCACACACGCTGGCATTTATTCACCAAGTTGACTTTGTATCCCAGGATGGGTTTGTGTTAATACTATATACAGCATAATATCTGGACTAGTGTCTTTTGTGTATAAAGTCATGAACATTCCACATAGAATACAGTACTCAATCATTTTTAAATTTCTAATAAAATAACGAAATTTACTTTAGCACCAGAAAACAATATTCTAAAAAACAAAACAAAAAAACTGGGCATATATAAATTACATATCTCAGTATAAATATACAATGACTGGAGTTTTAAACCTTACTTTCTGTTCAGGTTTCAGAGACCAAGTATATTTATTTTGTCACAAATTTAACTACCACCATATAATGTAACTGCTTCTTTTACAGAAATACAAAAAAATTTCACAACTGCAGGGATTTTTATAAAATAAACAGTTTTCATTGTGCCACTTTGTGATATGTGAATGTACAGTGTCTATTAAGTTTCAGTGCTTTCATTTTATGATTATGCTTTTTATTGAATAAACCCGACTATAATTAAAAACTCATTATTTCATTGTATATGTGTACTTAAAGTGCCCCTTTAAGTTTTAATGCCACTGATGGCTGGCAGGTGACACCCTAAGCCAATCAGTAGTACAGCGCTATGGAATCTGATGGCGCTATATAAATAATAAAATAATAATCAGTAGTTTCCCATTCAAGCACTTAAGAAACATACATACTTTTCTCAAACCGCGTTTATATTCTTTATTTTTTCGTGCCTTGAATTACAAACTGGTCTGCGGTGCTACGACAGCAGAGCAAACTGACATAATCAAAAACAAGTATTCAATGTCATGGCATACAAGAAAAATGCACATTTTTTAGATATAGTAGTCATGCTTATATCGTGTGTATATGTGGGTGAGCACATCTAGTTGTTCTTTTAGGTGTAGCGTAGCGCTGTGGAGGCGGGGAGCCCCTCCGACTCTGGGATTGCTGGAGGGCCGGTGCTCTGTTTCTGCATGCTTGAGTTCTTGCGGGGTCCCGATGTGCGCTGCTTTTTGCCCGTGTAGTACTTTATTTGCCTTCTGTGGTCTGCAGCATGTGTGGCTGATGCTTGCGGGGTGGCTTGTGGCTATGTAGGGCTGCAGCCCAGTGTTTCGGCTGGTGCTTTGTTTTCCTCTACCTACGTGGGTAGCATACTGGGGTCGCACCCCGTGTGGCTCCCGCCCCAGGTGGACCAACTGTGTGATACTTTTGAGCTTCGTGGAGTGATTTGCCCAGTTGGGGCTTCACCATCTGCATCCTGGTCTGGCGCCAGTTAGGGTGTGAAACTCTGTCTGGTTGGCATACTGTGGGTGCTTTTTCTGTGGTGCTGGCCATTGGTGGCTTTAGAGGCTGGTGCCTGTCCTCCAAACTTGCCCAGAAGTGCTTGCATATGGCATCAAATTTTGTCTGAAAGGCAGTTGCCCAGTCGCTGGGGGTCAGGGGAAATCCGCTATATGTGTTTCAGGTAGAGAGAGATGATGAGGTTTGCTTCTTCTCAGCTCCCCGGTCAGGCCCCGCCCCCTCTCTCAAACCATGTTTAAATGGGGAGCCACTGGTTTAGAGCAGGGATAGGCAACGTTCGGCACTCCGGATGTTGTGGACTACGTCTCCCTGGATGCTTTGCCAGCATTATAACTGTAAGAGCATTATGGGAGATGAAGTCTATAACATCTAGAGTGCTGAAGGTTGATTACTCCTGGCTTTGAGTTTATGCTGACCGCTCTAATCCAATAAGTGGCGTCCCTACCTGCAGCAGTCCAAGGCTTCTATTTTGAAGATTTTAATAAAGTGGTTGTTGGATAGTGCAGAGCTCAACTGCCTTGGCAAGAAAACTTTGGAGTTAAACCCTTTGTAAATAGTATCAAAACCTAAAGAGCCAGCACCAGGGACCTCCTGGTACATAGTTACATAGCTGAAAAGAGACTTGCATCCATCAAGTTCAGCCTTCCTCACATATGTTTTTGCTGTTGATCCAAAAGAAGGCAAAAAACCCAGTCTGAAGCGCTTCCAATTTTGCCACAAACTAGGAAAAAATTCCTTCTTGACCCCAAAATAGCAGTCAGGTGTCTCCTTATTTCAAGCAGGTATTACCCCACTAATTAGAAATGATATCCCTGTATGTCCTGTTTTTAGTTTGATTAAGTTATGGTGCACAGAGGTTTTTTGTATTTGTCTGTCTGTGTATACACTAATTGTGCAGCGCGGCAGAATTTGTTGGCAATTTATAAATACCAGTAATAAATAAATACATAGAAATCGAATTTCAAAATTTGCAGGCTTTATATATGCTTTCTCTAAACCAGTTACTGTTTCATGAATTGATTTCCCAACTTTTAGCGAATAACAATGTAATCTCCCTAAAACATTTCTACACTAGCATTGTATTTATCTTTTTAGGCTAACAGGAAGTAAAGGCTCAATAAAATGTACCTACAGCCCAAAGGGAACTTTTTAGCAATGACAAATTATTCCCTGGCATGCAAAAAAGCCTGCTAGAATAAGTATTGTACAATTTCCGTATAAAAATAGGAAATCTACTTGAGCCTAAATTTACTTGCTAAATATGTTCTTTTGATTGAGGCGATAATTATAATGCACTTTACTGCAATGTGGAAATTATGAGATCAGAACTACTTAGAGTGGTACATAATGGATTTCCAATGCTTCGAAAAACTGTTGGTAACTGAGCTAATATGTATAATGTATGTATATTATGTATAATATTTTTACCAGAGTACAACATGGAATATGACCATTTTAAAATACAGAATACTAATGAAATCAATAAATGGAATATAAAAGTTAGAATACACAACTCAAATGCACTGCGTTGAAGTAAAGTACTAGCCTTAACATGTACTTAATTATTTTTGTTAATGTGTAAATTTTAGAGTAAAGCAGTTTAGTCTAATGTTATAGTCTGCCTTTAACTGTAAGTACTTTACCCACTTCAGCTTGCTAAAGTGGTTATAGTGCAGATCCATGCACTGTAAGAGAGATAAAAAAGGTCTCCTGTGTCTCCTCAGTCTCAAAGACCGAAAGGAGTTTTTGCAAGGATCTGCACCCATCAGAGGTGCAGACCCTAAGCTCTGTTGACAGGACCATTCAGGAGCAGAACATAGACTCCATTGGACCACCAGGGGAAGGAACCATAATCACAGCCACTGTTGGATCACCAGGGAGTTAAATCATGATCACAGCATCTACCAGGGAATCGGGGACCCTACTTTGTTTTATGACATAGTTTCCATTTTACTGAACTTCCAATTCACAGGGTGATTCACCAAATTGATAATTTAAAGTCAATTCAAACTGAATTCTAAAGTTAAGGCAAAAATAGCTGAACTGGGAAAATCCTCTATATTGGCCCCAATTCCGGTTTAGCTACTTTGGTCTTAAATTTTAAATTTCGTTCTATAAGGGAAGTATCTAAATAACAGAGGTATCTCAGCTAGACAGACTCGTTTAGAGCAGTGTTCTCCAAACCAGTCATCGTGAACCACCAACACTCCAGGTTTTGTCAGTATCTCAGTTGGAATTAAACAGGGAAATGCATAAATCCTGGATTGTTGGTGGTCCATGAGGACTGGGCTGGGGAAAACTGGTTTAGAGCATTAAAAATTATTGCATGCCAATGTATGAAACAAAAGGAAAAAAAGCTGATATTTGTTGACTTTGTCCCATGTGACATAAACATATGGCGTAAATGCAAATTATAATTGAGCATTCTAACAGTTAGTTGTATATGAAGCTGCAAGGCAATGTCATAAAAAGCAGGGCTTTAAAACCTTTTTTTTTTTTTTAATCTATTGCTTTATTCATATATATCATTACTGGCTTATTTGTTTGTTTCCAAATTTATATTCGGTGTGGCTTAAATCCGTTCCTTTCTCCTTAGCTTTGTATTGACCAGGCCTCCTGACTATGGTTGTTTTTGTTATATGCATTAATGCAACAGATGCCAGTACATTATTTTGTAGCTTGTTTGGATGAATAAATATGCAAAACTGTGAAGTATTACATTTTACTTTTTATCATAAAAAATAAGGGACAATCTGTTGCTACCCTAATTGAGGTAATGTGTGGTTTACAGACTTGGCAGTTATAACAGTGAATTTTAAATGATTGTATCCAATAAACACTGCAAAACAAAATATTGTAAATGGTTGCAAAAAAAAATAAAAATTCGAAAAACACTCCATAAAAAAAGAGAGGGGCATGAGGGAGGGAGATGTGGTGTGTTTTTGCGATTTAACTCTTTTAGTGACAGAGTGTGTATGATCTCGGTATCTGATTAGCCAGTAACATAAGCAAAGATATGCAAACATCGAGAGTTTCATACCACAATATTCTTTTGTAACTATTTTTATCACAAAATAATCAGTATAAATTAACCACATTACATAAATGAGACTTCTCAAAAATTGAAAATGTGTCCTTAGTGGTTAATTTAATGATTATACTGATCTAAACATTTTTACTGATTTTACTAGATACTTAAAATAATAGGAATTATTATTATTATTGGTATTAATATAGCACCAGAATATTTCACAGCTCTGTATACATTTGTTAAGGACCTTCAGTAACAAATGAGACAAACTATTTTAAAGAACCATAGGTTGATGAGGACCCTGCTCATACAAACTTATATTTTAATGGAGTCCTCATGCATTTGGAAAAGTGTCCCTAGAAAATATGTCAAACAGTCTGGATACAACAGCAATCTCCAAAAAAAACAGACACTCAACCACCTTAGAAACAAGCTGTCATTTATTCCATATGTTCTAAAAAAAAAATAGTCAGGTTGTTACTTTATTATTGACAGACATGGGATGTTGGGGAAATTTTAGTCTGCGGAAAAGAGATAGATTACTTTTTAAAAATGCATGGATGCCCTCCACACGTTGCCTTGCATTATTTATGAAAAAATTGTGATTTATTTTTCTGTTTATATTCTCTTGAAAATGTGGATGCCTTCCTTACTGTTTTCTAAGCTCAGCAACAAAAAGCCTGCATGTGTAATGATATTTTCTTATAAAATAGAATTTATCTGCTAGAAAAAAAAAAAAACAGTTCCATGTCCAATGTAATACCCGTGTTAGTGAAGCTGCCCCAAGTATGTCCTGACGTACATGAGTCATGTGTTCTGCTCACTGCATTTACAAATAACCCCATTCAGCTGATTCAGAATCATTGTTTAAGGTCACCCCTTTACCTCCTCTATTACTACCCTTCTCTACGCTTTTTTTTTTTTTTTGTCCCTCCATCCCATCTCCCTCTCCCACTGTTATTTCACATGTTTTTGGCTGTAACGGTTTTTACAAGGGATTACTGCCTCCTGATAGGTCATCACTACATGACATTTTTGCTGTGACATGTAGCCAGACTATAGATTCTTTAAATGTGTTCTGTGTTTTTATGGAATCATTTGACTCTCATGACTGTTTGTCTGTTTCTTACTGTCAAACACCATTGTCAAGTTGTTGAAGTTCCACATCTGCCCCCAATAAAAAATATCTGAATACAAAACAATTTCGGAGGCCTTTAATGTCTTCCTAATACCATTAATATCTCTCCATTGAGTGGGATTTTGATTCTGACATACAGTTTTTCAGGCGAGTACCAGGAAAAATGAAAAAGCTTGTGTTTTAAAAACTACATGATCTTTTGAATATATATAAAAGCTACATCAAAGGACCGCAAAAATGGCATTGTACATTTTGTAAGGGTTGTCCACCCAAAAGTTTTTTGGTATCCTTCATTAAACTGTATCACTTAGTTGCACTTAATATTCTGATATTCTGTGCTTATTCTATTTGTTTTCATATGATATATATATATATATATTTGCATAGGTTATAGTGTTTGCAGACCCCATTTCCCTGTCTTTCTAAGCATAGTGTCTAAAAACTGCAACAATTTAAAGACCAATGAAGCTATAAGCCCACTACACACAAAAATGTGTCATAGAAAGAAGCTACGGATCCATCTACTCAATCAAGTGCGCCTAGTACTGCAGAATTGTCTAGGATTTTTATAGTTCGTTAGTCTTTTTTTTTACAGTAGGAAGCTGATAGCTGAACCATAAATAATCCCATGAGCAATATTATGGGATGAATCAGTAATCAGGCTTTAGAAGCTGCAAAACTAACGCAGTCACAAAAATCCAGAAACATCACATGTATCTTTTTTTTATTGTTTTAAATTTCACTTTTTTGCATATTTTTTCCAATTAGGTTTTCTATACTATACATCAAAAAAATGTCTGTGTCCTTTTAATTTCTGCTTGAAAGAGTGGCTGTTGTTTGTTATAAAACAATTTTAATTTAGTGCAATACATTTTATTTTATCTGTCATTATTGCCTTCTAGCCATTTATCAAAAAACTATTATTTTCATAATATACCTTTTATAAAACGTCTTCATGTTAAATCTAAATGTATGATCAATACTATTTTCATGTTTATCTACAAGAAGTGGATACTAATGACCATTCTCTACCATATTAATGTTAATTAAACAATACAGTGACATTTTTTATTTTAATTTAATTATTTTAATTATTTAATTAGTAGTGATTTTAGTAGTGATTTTATATTAACTATAACAGCCCTTGTTCTTTTTTTTTTCGGGAACTATATTAACGTATACAAAATATTTCCCGTCTGCGGTATTTTTTTTACAGAGTTTATGTCGCTGATAACCATTGCAATTCACTTGTGTTTTATTTTTTCCTACTCTGCTCAATTAAAATGCATTGACATTCAGCCTTCTTTTAGAATGCTGTAGACAACAGCCATGTTCCACTTGCCTATTTCCCCGGAGAAGAAGTTATTTTTGTCAGTTCTCAAGTCTAACAAGTAGATCCTGACAGCATCAATCCATCACACCATAAACAACTTGAAATGTTGCCATTCTTCTTCCACAGCGTAGTGCCAAGATACACAAAACTGTCAATGACTTAACAACCCTTGATGAACAACATAGGGCCGCCAGAGATGGATGGATTGCTGCCCTCTGACTTCACAAATAATCTTAATTCTTTCAAACCCACCCCAGAATATTTTTGTGCATAAATATCTAAACATTCTAATAGATTTTAACTGCACAAGAATAATGCAGCTTACATAGGTGATGGTGAATGCCAGTAAGGTGGGATTATATTTAAAACAACTCATCAGCAAGACTAAATATGAAGAAAAAAACCTACCTGTCGCCTCCCGCGTGGTGTCCAGGAGCATGTCTCTGTTCGGACTGAGGTCCAGGGAGACGGCAGGACCATGTTTTCGATGTGAATATGCCCTTAAAAGCCGACTCCTTTGCTTTTGCACCATAAGAGACACTTCAGAGCCTCTCGTAACAGCACTTGTCTTCATAACTGTTTAAATTTCTAATGGAGCTTTGCAGAGGTGTCAACGAGTTGCGCTCACTGGGTCGGGAGATCAGTCAAATTGACACAATTCTAGCATTGGACAGAGCAGGTATGGTTAGTGTCAGTCTGCAGCTTAAAGCAGGTTGTTTTTGCATTGCTTGTATGCGATTTTGTCTCCATACAAGGGTTAGAAGGCGAGAGCTAACAACAAACATGTCTGGCCATCTTGTGTGTCAGGTCCCGCCCCTGGAATTCAGATATTTACTAAAACTGAACTAACCTTGAATTGACTATCTATTTGCAAATTAGGATGCATGACTAGAGTGCTCTGATTACCGATTTCCTTTAGGAAAGCACAGACACAATTCAGATTTACAGAGGGTGAAGAGATAAAAAATAAAAATAAAAGATGATCCATCAAACCCACTGTTAATCAGAATGGGTCCCAATAATATGCACTTATCCCATTTCTTCATAACAAAGCCAGCAGTTGGAAGTTTCATAAACAACAGTACAACAGCACTTTCTTCTATTCCATAATGATGACATTAATTACATTAGTGCAAGAACCCCTTATACCAAAAGCCCAGTGTGAATGGTTAGGGTTTTATAATAATGCATATTTCCACATACCATTTGCGATGGTACGTGGTTTAAACAAATGTAGATTGAGATGGTATGTGGTTTAAATAATGGAGATGGAGATGGAGATGGTATGTGGTTTAAAATAATTGAGATATTGTATCTGCACATTTGTTGTTTGACCTAAATCTCTCCTACTGGACCTAAGGGACATTTTAAATGAAAATTAATTATATATGAGCCTATATTTACCTCTGAATATCTGAGAAGTGATGTAAATAAGTATATTTATTTTGAATTTTCTACTAGAATCTTAACCATAGTAAATAACTCCTTAGATCAGGTATCACAAACACTGCCCCCCAGATGTTGCTGAGCTACAACCCCCATGATTCTCTGGCCATATATTGCATTCAAAGAATTCTGGGAGATGGCCCTCAAAATGAGGGGTGGGTGGTGGGGGGGGGGATTTTTGCCTTAGATCCTTAATACCCTTCCATGAATCTTTTTAGCCATCTAACCATTTTGCAATATATTGCCTTTATCTTTATCATAACATACAGAGCTGAATTAAGGTGTCCCCCGTGCCCCTACCTTGAGGCCAGGGCTTAATTTCTGTGAGTAGTGTACGTGTGTCAACTCGGTTTTGTGTGTGAAAGTGTAGGTAGTGGCTGAGTATTGTGTGTGGAGATGAGGGAGAGAGCTGTATGGGGTGGCTGAGTGTGTCTGTGTGTGCTGGTTAAGTGTTGTGTGTGGTGGCTGAATATTGTGTTTGTAGGGCAGTCTGAGTGTGGCTGGCTGTTGGGTGTTGTGACGGACCGCCTGGGTACCTCCATCAATCGCTGCTTCCTAGTACTTGCGAGCACCATAAGCACTGTACTGGAACACCATAACCACTATAGACGCCACGAACTGCCGCAGCTTGGTTGAGGTCTCACTATCCTCTACCCACCCTGGACCCAAGACCAGTATCCAGCTTCCAGTGGGTAGACCTCTCCTAGTCCAGAGAGCGTAGTAGGAACAGCTCTTATAAAAGCTAGTGATTATACTCTGGGGAATATAGTGATTATAGCAATCCCCAGAGTGAATGTAGTTCTCCAATTGCCCATACATGAGCCAATACTTCATGAAGGGGTAAACAAATCTCAATTTAATGGGAGCCACCCTTGGTCTTTTATGACAATCCCCATGCAAGGGGTACACCCACATGGACCTTGTTGGGGACTCCAACACAAAGACACAGACTAATAAGAACAGTGATTAAATGTCCAACACTCCCATAACAAACATACAATCCCTCCTCCCTGCTTGGGAGATAATTGGATCAGTAACTGTACTAATTCTAATCCAATTATCTCCAAGCACAGAAAAATCATACTTTTTTAAAACACCACCAAAGTACCCTAAAAATACATAAAACCCCACAAATGTTACATCCCCCAATAGCACTGATCTGGGTGACCAACACATCCAAAAGTAACCCAGATCAGTTCAGAGGTTCAGGAATTTCCTGGAAGTCATTCATTTGACTGACCGCAGGCATGGTCCCATAGCCGAAAATAGTTCCGTAGAATAGCGGCTAAGTGCCGCTGGAGGACCAACTGGGAACCCCAAAGTTTTCATGCCGGAAATAGTTCCAGGGCATTCGCGGCTAAGTCCCCCTGCAGTCTATTCGCGGTTTTGTTCCATGTGAACAAGATGGCCACCCCGTGGTCGGCCATAGGAATTGCGGCCACCCAGACGAACACTTAGACCACTGCGGTGGAAATTGCAACAATGTATCAATTAAGCTTAACAAGCTCCAGGGTGGTCTCCGGTTTGTGCGACTGTTCGGTAAACGAACCATATAGTCCCAATTGCAAGAACAGAGCCTGCTTAAAGTAGTTTAGCCAGGTCTATTGCACGGGCTATAGTCACAGGGTTAGAGGCTGGCAAACAAACCCCTCCAAAAACTCGAGGCAAACTCACAGTAAAGGGTGAGTTTTTCAAAGGTGTTTATGTTTATCAGCACATGCTTACCTTCCTTGGTGGCCCAGTGGAGGGTGAGCAGGATCCTCTCATGGTTCTGGCACTCAGTCATGACTCATCAAGAGGTGCCGGTTGACCGTCAGGGTTGCTAAAGTGATATGTACCTGAAATTGGTGCAGATCACAATCCCTTGGTTAGGTGAAGAGGCACAGAGCCATGCAAGGAGATCTTTAGATCTCCCTGTCGGCTCATGGAGGGATTGCCCAGAGCTGGAGCTCAGGCACAGACAGCGGCCCACTGGCCTTAGTCGCCTCACACGTAAGCCGACTCAGATGATATATAACGTTTCCATAACTCCAGAAGGTTTTCTCTTCTGTTGCAGAGTGTATGGTAAGTGCACTAAATATGTGTTCATTCTGAGAGGAGATACAACAGCCAACGTGTTACAATACATATCTACAGGGAAAAATGTGCAGTCCCCAATAATTACTAAATCTTTTTTATTTATTTTTAAAGCCACCCAATTAATATGAACATCATAACACCACAAAATAATTATCAAAGCCTATTTTCATTCCCAATTACCATGTTTTTCGACAAAACAGGCAAGAAATAGCTTCTAAATAAACAAGATTAAAAATGCCACGTTACTGGCAGACACTCTGGCTGCTGCTGCCAAACTAACTGCTTTAAT